GTAAGTCGTCTGCATGCAGACGGGGTTATAATGAAGTTAGAAGTTTTCATGACGTCACCCTGGCAGCCATCTTAGGCTGAAACTAGTTTCAGTCAGCCTACTTGAAGAGGAACTTGGGCTCACAGGCATCCTGTTCTCAAGGATGTGTAAGATCAGGGCTGGATAGTGTTACTGTCAACTGAAAGGCTTTGGAGTCTGGGAAGATTTGCCCTCTGTGGGTCACTGCTCTCTCTATTCCTGACTGTGACCACCAGCTTCAAGTTCCCTCCACTCTGACTTCCCCATCACGGTGGAACTGCACCTCAAACTGTGAACAAAACAAACCCTCACTTTCTTCAATTGCTTTTGCTGGGATGTTTTATTATAGCAACAGAAGAGTAAGACAACTGCTGGTGGGGGGATTCAGGGTTAGCACCTGCTCTCAGCACAGCTTTGGTCTGGACACTGGAGATATCGCAGAAGACAGAAACAAGGGTGCTTACAGGAAAAGACCTGGGAGACAGAGGCTATTAATCCCACTGGGTGAGAATAAAACCACTACCACAATTTTTTGAACCGAATTTGAAGCAAGCTTTATTAAATACTGGCCATGATGATGGACACTGGCCAGGTCCACACCAGGGATTCCCAGAGAATGGCACTAACTTACATTAGGCTTATAAAGGCAAAGCTCACAAGGCTATGCAATTCCTGCCTTTGTCCAATCAGGGGCAAACATACATCCTGACATACCTCCCACCACATATGATCAAGAACATTCTGTGTAGTTGTGGCAACCGAGCTCTTTACAAAAGGAAAAACAGGTGACTTTTTGTTACCTTATGTAAACAGCCCCCACATTCCAGGATGTTATCTTTCTTGGGCAAGTGGCGCATCCAGGCTAGAGGCATTTCTGTTTTATATTTCTCTTAAGTGCAGTAACTGAAACATGAAACATAACTTTAGCCTTGGGTACACATCCTAACCTCTTCCAGCTTCCTATGATACCAAGAGTGATAGGCACCTGGAGAGATACTGCTAGGGGTGGCTATGCCCAACTATGTTTGACCTCATTTTCTTACACTGCAGCCTTCTGATCTGAGATCTAATGACTTTCACAGACTCCCACCTCCCATGGTGCCCTTGTAATGAGTGTTAGAGAAAACTTGAGTTGCTAAAAGTCAACAGCTAAGCTGACAGTCCTGGGATCCATCCCCACTAGTGAACACACTTGCTGTGGTATTGTATATCTGTAATCCCAACAGTCTTGAGGGTAGAAGCATTTGCAATAGAAATTCAAGTTCCTCCTTGGTTACATAATGAGTTGGAAGCATAGCCTTAGACTATGACATTATAGTCAAGCAATCAAGCAAGTGGTCAATGAGCAAGGCAGAAGTTCTAAAACCAAGCACCACTCTGAACCAAACTTGCTTTAGTATGCCTGGCCCTACCATATATCCACGTTATGCCTGTGGCTAGAGAAAAGGCAATGACAGACAGAAAATACCTTAGTAACTCAGAGTCCACATTTGCTTTATAGAGCTTGGTGCACTCAGTAATCTGCAACCAGCAGAGGCTCAGCTGGGATGCAGCTGAGATTCGATTGCAAACAGGAGCGCGCTCATGTTAGGTTAGACCTTATTCACACAGCAAGGGTGCAGTTCACTATTTTGGAGGCTGTTTTAGGCCAAGCTTTATTTATCCTTAGTATAGAGGTAGTTTTAGGCCAAGTCCAATTCAACAAAAGTGTACTGGTTGTGGGCTCTAAGAATTCTGTCCCTAGTATCTGTGCAGGCCCAACAGAATTGTCTCTGTCCTTGTGAGACCAGCTATACCAAGATCCTCTAGTGAGAGGGGCCTGACCAGATCAGTACACCTATAGCTGCTGGTGCCAGTCGTGGAGTTAGCAGGAACTTTACTGTAGGTCACCATTTAACTGTGAGAATCCTTGTCAGCAGGCAAAACAGCCCAGAATGGCTGCCAGCAGCCCGAGGAGTTCACTAATCCTCAAGAGGCCCTCAGGAATATAAAGCAGGATCCTTGACTTCATTGTAGAAGACAATTTTAAGAAGAGTCAGTAGGAAGCAAAGCTAGAGTTCATTAGATTTTTAATAAAACATTTTAGATTCTGTTTTATTTGGGTTGGTGTGAGTGGCGGAGTGCAGGTGAGGCGGTCAGGTGACAACCCCCAGAAGCTGTTTTTCTCTTTTCAGCATGTGGGTTCCAGATCAAACTCAGGCTGCCTCCACCTCCTGAGTGCTGCTGTTAAAGGCATGTGCCACCACCACCCAGGAAAGTTCAAGTTGAGTTGGATGTGGTGGCATATGCTTGTTATCCAAGCTCTTAGGAGGAGGAAGCAAGTGGATGAGGAAGGAGTTCAAGATGGTCTTTGGTCAGGCCAGCCTGGGCTATATGAGATCTTGTCCCAAACAACCAAACGTCAAAAACAACCAATCAACTAACAACAACAACAGCAACAAAAACAACAAACTAACATTGTCCCCAGATCCAATTTAGGCACCCACAGCTCTAGGGTGTGGCTTATATATTTTTGACAGTTTGCTGGAGATCATCAGTAGAGGCAAATTTAAATCAGGGGTTGGGAAAACAGGGGAGAAGTTTGGTTGGCCAGTATTGAGGGGAGTGTCTGCTAGTGGCCTCAGATGGGTAGAAGCCAGGGATGATGCCATCCTACAGAGCACAGGGCAATCATCCTTAAACCCTGTCATCCAGTCAGGCACTGGGGAGGCTTACACAGGAAGACCTTAAGTTAAGGCCTACCTGGGCTTTACCTAACACATCCTAGGTCAGCTAGACAGCGAGACCCTGTTTCAAGCAAAACAACGCAAAAACTCTATTCTTCCCAATAACCAGGTCCCAAATAATCAATACTGCTAGGCAGATGTGATGTCTATTCTTGGATGTCAATTTGACTACATCTAAAACTAAAAGCACCACATGTCTGGGCACACCCACGAGGGATTCTTGCTTACATCATTTGATTGAGATCTTTGAGGCGAGAAGATACAATCTGGATCTTTTGAGGTAGGGAGATAAACCTTTAATCTGGGGGCACACCTGCCAGCTGTCTATTTAAAGGACACGGAAGAAGAAAGCGTGTTGTCTTTGTATGCTTGTTCTTGCTCTCATTAGCAAGTCCATTGCTTCACTGACATTAGATCCCACTTCTTTGGGCTATCAGTGTATACTGACGACCATCAGCCTTGTGGACTGAACAACTATTGGATTGCAGGACTAGCTGGACCACAATCTGCAAGCTATTCTCATAAATCATATATATGTACACACACGTGTACACACACACACACACACACACACACGTTCCTCTAGAGAACCCTAACACAACAGAAACGCAGGAGCTTCACCAACGAAACAAAGTGTTCCAGACTAACCACTTGAGCCTCCTTCCCATCACACTCTTCCTTGCTCCTGTCAGCCTTCACTATCAAACATTCAACACAACAACAAAAGGTAATCATCTCTCAATGCTCACGAGGCTGGCTGTGTCTCGACTGAAATTAGCCCTCCCGTTGGTCGGTTGACAAGGTTGCTTCTGACAAGAGTGTCATCTGAGACAAATACTTTAATTTGAGCAGGCACGTATCAATCTTAAAGAAAAAAAAAGGTGCCCAAAAGAGCACTGCGAACTAACAACCGTGCTGCAGGTTTGTAGTGCGCTAAGGGCTTTCCAATAACGTCTTGTAATTCGACCTGACAACACTCTGGCTTATGACAATGCGGCAGTGCAGGAGCACTCGAGGAACCAGGTCGGTGACCGCCTGGCTCCGGACTCGGCTAGGGGTTAGGAGACAGGAGCACGCCAGGCTGGGTGAGATCCAGATGAACCACCAGGTCCCCACCCGCTCCAAACCAAACCATTCTGGATGTTTCCTCTCTCTCCCTTTCTGCACACAGCCAAGCAGATCTTCAAAAGGCGTCTTAACTCGAACCAAAGTCGCACGGATTCACGTGCGATCGGGCGAAGTCTTGGCTTGCTGCCTCGTGAGGAGCTCGGGGTGACTTCTAGGCCAGTGGCTGCAGCGAGGCCAGGCCAGATGTTTGGAGCAGGTGCTCTCAGCAGGTGTTCGCAAGGAGGCCCTGGGCTTTGCAGCTGAGCCAAGCTTCCAGGCCTCGGCGCAGTGCGGCGTGCAGTGAGGCGGTGTCTTCGAGGGAGTTTGGCGAGCCCATCCATATTTTTTAAAGGGCTCGCGTCCTGCAATCCAAGGCTGCTGCTCGGCAGGGTCGAGGGTGCACCTGCGCTGTGCACGGTCACGTGACTCACCCCCCCCCCCCCCCCCCCCCCGCATCTCCGCAGCTAGCCAGACCGGGAGACAGCGAATGTAACGTCCCAGGACAAAGAGCAAGGATAGTTCCAGAAACCCGTTCGGCTGTGCAAGTGCAAATGCCGGCGTCCGGACACCGGCGGCTCGCCGTCCGCCTCACTGATCCTGCTGCGCTCCTAAGGGAGACCGGGTCTGCGCGCGGCCTGCGGTTTCCCGGCGCGCACCTGGCGGCCACGGGTGCGCGCCCCACCCTCCAGGTGAGCAGCGCCAGGCCCCGCCCTCACCGCAAAGCTCCGCCTCTTACCCGCGCCTGCGCAGTACCTCCGGCGGCGCCGGGCGCCGGGGCGGCGCGGCCGTCGCAGTTCGGCGGGCGCAGTGCGCGTGCGCCGTGGCGGCCGGGGGGCGGGCGGCGTCCGCGGCGAGGAGCGGGGGTGGGGAGGCGCCGTCTGGCTCGGGCTGGGCTGGCGGGGAGCACGAGCGAGCCTCGGCGGCCCCGTGGGCAGCCTCTGCGGCCCGCAGGTGAGACGGGCGTGGGGCCTGGCGCAGGGCTGTGAGGGGAGAGCGGGTGGGCCTCGCGGCGCGCGGACCCAGGTGAGCGTAGCCCGCGGGCCCCGGGCGCATTGTCCGCGGGCGGCGCCCCTCAGCGCCCCCTGCCGGCCGGGCTCGGCGGGGCCGGGGCGCGGCGGGCTAGGGCCGGGGCGTGCGCGAGTTCCTTTGTTTGTCGCCCCCGCCCGGTCCCTGCCGCCCCCGCCAACATGGCGCTGGTGGGGTCCCTGCCCCTGCCCGGCGACCGCTTCCCGCGCGCTTTGTTCCGCGCCGTGCGGGGGGGCGGGGGCGGCGGCATTGCGTAACCGGGCGGGGGAGGGGCGTGGCGGGACCCCCGCGGCGGGTCACCCTGGTGACGCCCTGCCTAGGGGGCTTGGGGCTGGGGCCCGTGTGACCTTGGGTTTGCCTCCCGTCCGCGCCGGGGTGAAGCGCGACGCGGTGCGGGTGCTGCGCAGCGCTGGGGGTCGCGGTCCCTGGTGGCTTCCTGCACGGCTGGTGCGTTCTGGGCCTTTCCGGGAGGAGGGGGTGTGGGGTTGAGAAATGGCTTCAGTCAACCACGTCGTTGCCTGCGCATCACAAAGTTTGTTTACGCAATTGTTTTTATATTGATTTGGTTTTTATAATCAGCGAATTGGGTTTCGGGTTTTGTAAGGGTTATTCTGCTTGAAGTCTTACTCCTGGCTTAAAGGTTTATTTATCATCGTGTGCATCCACAAGCCGTACAAGGTACGTTTAAGTGTAAAGGATTTCAATGTGTCTAGTGCGGAAGATGGGATCCGTACCGAAATGCGAATGCCTCAGTAACTTTGCTTGGAATTTTCTGGAAGAAACTGCAGCCTGAGAGGATTGATGGAGAGTAATTGCCTTCTGCGTAGCTTTTGTTAGGCTGTGAAAATGAAACCCGATCTTAGTCGTTTTTACCTACATATTCTGAGCATACTTTTGAGGTGGTGAAATTTTGGATAGAGGCGAGAAGGCTCGTCTTTAGCCTTCTTTTTCACCCCTTCAGCATTCACCGGGAAAAAAAAATCGATGTCTGATTTATAGGATGTTCATTAACAGGTTTGATAACAGTTAACGTTACCTAATATAGTTATAAAAATGTGTGGTGTTTTTTACAATAAGTAAAATGAAATTAGCTTAAAATCTTACTAAAATGCCTATGAAATGGATCGAGCAAAAGGGATTTCAGTCTAAATTAATTTGTATGAAGTCTCTTGTACTCTAGACTGAAGACTTAAACTCAATATCCTGTTTTGGCTGGGAGTACAAGCCGCGCTGTCATGAGGGACCATATTTTTATACTTAGGGATTTTGAAATGTATGTGAATGGGTGCTTTGTCTGCATATTTGTTTTATGTATACTGCATGTATACCTGGTGCCCAGGGAGGCCAGTAGAGGGCTCTGATCCCCTGGGACTGAAGTTAACAGTTTGAGTGCCATCTGGGTGCTGGGAATCAAACCTGGGTCCTTTGGAAGAGCAGCCAGTGAGTGCGCTTAACCGCTGAGGCCTGCTTAAGATTGTTAAAAAATACTTTAACTGATTTGTAGACCTTGTCTGATTCCACTTTTAGTGTTCAAAGGAGATGGGGGATAGCTCAAGACGGTAGTGTGAGGTTGTTGTCCTGTGCTCCACATCTAGACTTTACACTCGGTTGTGCCATCACCAGACCTAGCAACAACAGGCGAGTAACTCCAAGGACTGGTTGGCAGGGATGGGAACTTCAAGGCCATTTTGGGTAAAAGTCGGAAGGAGGCTGGAGGGGAGAGCTCAGTGGTAGAGCAATTCCTACCTGCGTGGTGGACTCCTGGTTCTGCCTCTGGGAGAACAAAGTGACTACCCTGTAGCTCTCTGGGAGTAGTGCAGATTGTTTAGGGAATGAAGTCGTTTCTTTCATGTTGTTGACCTGCCTCCTGCCTCCTCCCCGTTGCCACCGGTGCTGGGATCGAGAGGGACTGACTCAGTAGTGCCCTTAATTACAGGCTCCAAGCAGACCACAGTACAGAATGCCAGTCACACTTGGGGAAGTGTATGCTCAAGGTGCCTGCCATTCTCTGTCTTTCTTAGGGTCACAGTTCTCATTTTCATTTGGGGAACTCTGAAAAATACTGCCGTTGTGGGCTTGGAACTTACTTTTACGGGACACAGAAGGGCTGAAAACAAAAGACAAGGGGATTGGTGGATTTTTAAAGTTACTTCCTCTGCTAAGTGGAAAACGGGAGAAGTCAATAGAGAACCTACTAGTACTACATCAGATCGCTTCAGGGCAGGGCTTACCAAGCTTTAAAACTGAGGGTACCTCATTGTGCAGGGGCCTGCTAGGGGAAATTGGTTTTGTTTTTTTTTTTTTTTCTGATTTTTCTGAAGGACATATAACTTAGTTTCAGTTTGGCTAACTTCAGTAGGAGTGACTCCATTTTGATTTGTAATCTGGTCTGTTGAAGTCTAGTGCAAGATTGAGCTTGAAGACCATGGTGTAGTGACATTTCATTTGTATTTTAATAAATAAAGCTTGCCTGAAGTTCAGAGAGTAAAACAGCCTGCACTGATCATCTTTACAGACCAGGCAGTGGTGACACACACCTTTAGTCCCAGAAGCCACACTAGTTTGCCATAGAAACTGGGCGATAGTGGTGCTTGCCTTTAATCTCAGCACTAGAGAGGAGTATAAGATGGGAGGAGACAACTCAGGCAGAGTTCCTGGAGGTTCCTGGAGGCAGGATCACCATTTCAGACTGAGGTAGAGGTAAGAGCCAATGGCTAGCTGTTTTGCTTTTCTGCCCTTCAGGTTGAACCCCAATTTCTGTCTTTGGGTTTTTATTAATCGTGCTACATTGTCTCTTTGTTAAAATTATTTTTTATTTGTTTTTAACTGTCTTTATGCTGTATCTTAGGCAGTAGTGCCTCCCATTACTTGGGAATGGTGGTGTTGGGATTGATATGGTTGTGTGTGTGCCTCTCTTGTTTTGTGGGTGATCCCAAAATTTACCCTTACCGGCTGATAAGTCAGTCTCCTGGGAAGAGTTTTCGTTTGTAGAGTCTGACCCTTGGGGTAGCTAACACAGTTATACCTGAGCTAACTGCAGTATTAATTATTTGCACTATTTTTTTTCTAGTATGTTAGAAATACATGAAGGGAGTCAGGTGTGGCACACACCTCTAATCCCAACATTAAGGGATGGAAGAGACAGGAACACTAAAGTCTCAGGCAACATAGACCTATTGTGGGGTATTTAGAGGTTGGAAATGTCTGCATGCCCATTAGTAGAATCTCAGTTTGCTGAGGAACATTTAAATACAAATTTTCAGCTAAATGTATATTCTTTTCCTCTTTCTAAATGAGAAGCTGCAAGATGCTGTTTTAACTAGCTGCTTTTTTTCAGTTTGGAAGCCTGGTGTCATGAAAAGCATGTTTTGGAGTGGTGTGGCTGGAAGTCAGGATTTCCCCCTCTTGTGTTGAACTCACCTCTGCAGTACTGGTCAAACATGTGGAGTGGAGACTTTAAAGCCTTCTATTCCTGAGCTGCAGACTGGGAGGAAGCCTGTCCCAGTGTAGTTCCAGAAACACAGCTGGACAAGTCAGTGTTGATCCTTTTCCCTTCCTTCTCTGCTCTGCCACAGTTACTAGTGCCTTGTCTTTATGAGGAAGTAAACAGCTTGTTTCACACTCTTGTAATATTGAATCTAGTTTAAGTTAAGTCCTTATTGGGTGCCTAACTTAAAATTTTCCTAAGTCAGACCTGGAGAGGTGGCTCACTGTTAAAAGCACCTGCTACTCTTGCAAAGGACTCCTGTTTGGTACCTAGCACCCATGTGGCAGCTCAATGAGGTTTGTAGTTCCAGTTTCAGGGACTCCACTGCCCTCTTCTGGCCACCATAGACACTGCTTGCACATATATGTACATACAGGCAAAACACCCACGAATATAAGATAGAAGTAAATCTTTTTTAAAAAAATGATAGATTGTATTAGGTTCTTTCCACGAGTCCTTTAGGACTTACGTACATGATAAGAAATGTGTCTGCAGTATAACATTTTTAAAAAAATAATTAATTTTATGTACATTGGTGTTTTACCTACATGTCTGTGAGAGTGTCAGATCCCCTAGATTAGAGTTACAGACAGTTCTGAGTTGCCATGTGGGTGCTGGGAATTGAACCCAGATTCTCTGGAACAGTAGCCTATGCTCTTAATCTCTCTAGCTCCCAATCTAATAGTTTATTAGGAAGGTGTATATGCTTAGTGTGTGTGATGGACTTACACGTTCAAAAATACCTGAGAAGAGAAAGATTTCCTACACAGGACTAAGAGTATTTAAATAGGAAAGAAAAGAAGTCCAAATAGTGGGTGGGGACAGAAAGAGAGTTGACATTGGTAGGAGTTAATAGTTTGCAGTGGGAGAAATTTTTCCATCTGTTCAGGCTTTGAATATTCAGCTAAAAGTTAGATGTTACCTTTTACTCTTAGGAGGCATAAGTACCTTATCAGGAATAGGCTAAAGTTCATAACAGTTTATTCCTTGTTTTCCTGTCAGTTTAGTGGCTGCACCTTAATCTACTTATATTTTAACTACTGTCTGCAGTCAGCACCTGGCTGCTCAGACCATGGCCTGGTGAGATTTCCTGTCCCGCTAGCACTGGCTCAGCACCAGACACCAAATGTAGGTTTTAATTAAGTCTGTATCATTTGTTTACCAATACTCAGGAGTCACATGTTGGAGTGAAAACCTACTAGATCTGAGAGGCTGAGAAGCAGTTAATTGGCCTTCCTTTTTGCCAGAGACCCAGCAAGAGAAACTTCTCTCCACTCCTCCAAACCAGAAAGATTTAAGCAAATCCCTAAAGTTTCTCCCTCCTCCTTCCTGTGTTCTCTCTGTCCATATTCCTATTCCTGGTTCCTCCATCCTTCTATCCGCTCTGGCTGATTCCTGTCAACTAGTTGCTGACTTTGCCCCCAGAGTTTAATTTTATTAACATAGTCTCCGGTTCACAGTGCCATCAAATATCCTGCAACAGTTTTGTGGACACTGAACTGCATCATCACCTTGGGTTTCCTGTGGCTGATTTGTATGAGAATAAATTTCAAAAAAGATGTTGAATACCATATTTCACATGAATGTGGTTACATATTTGTAGTAGACAGTAGTTGGTATTATTTGAGATACTGTCTCACTATAGTGCTGGCTAACTCAAAGATCTGCCTGCCTCTGCCTTGTGAGTGTGGGAATTAAAGAAACAAGCCTCTATGCATTGCCAGGTGTTCATTATGTCAGGAAGCCATCTTAATGTAGGACCAGTACTAGACTTGAGTTCTAGAGCAGTGTGGGAAGTGGGTTGACCTCTTAGGCAAGTGGTGAAGCCTACTGAAGTCAGGGTTCATCATACTCATGTCATTCCATGTAGGCCTTAGCCACATTTTGGCAGATTAAGTGGAAAAACCAAAGGTTATTTTTTCTAAGTGCTGAAGATCAGGTTTTGTGTTGGACTAGTAAC